ATGTTACGAAACTGGGAAACATTGAATTTATTTTCAACAATATTTCAATGGTTATTTCCAGAGATTAATGGTAAAAGCTACACATTGTCTCTTCAAACCTTTTCTGTTTCTTTGGCCCCATGTCAATACTCACACTGCGCCCTGCGGTCTTCGGCAAAGTGCACTTGGAGAAAGTGTGCAGTAGGGTTCGAGTGCGTAGTGCACAAGTGTGCAAATAATTGCAGAATTGAGACAGAGAACATTGCGTCGTCGATTGCAACGCATACCGGGCTGCTGGTCGCTGTGATACTTTTTTCAAAAACCTTTATTGACAACTTTTAAACAAACAGCCAAACAGTTATTTGAAAGAAATTTACATTTATTGCTGCTTTGTCTAAAAGTTTCAAAGCACCAACTAATCGTCCTAAAATTAACTAATTTTATTAGAAAATACATATTTTCAGAAAAGGAACTTGAGCCTTTTCTCCTGCAGCAATGACTTGTGGGTAGTACCCTTGCCCGAGGTCCGCGTCGCTGCGGACTTGGGTGAAGAGCAGATTAAGGGTGCAATTAGGGCGTGGTCAATTTCCGCACTTGGGAATCGGGACACCCTACGCACTCGCACCTCTGGCCGGGAACGCACAATTGAAGGGCGCAAGGGTGGAAGTGCGAGTATTGGGATTGGGCCATAGCTTGACAGAACATAAAGTCAGACAAGGACGTCCTGCTACATCACAGGAGCAGTTGTGCCTTTAAACCACCAGATGGCAGAAAAGTTCTCTTAATGCTCTTAGTTTTCTGTAAAATGTCATTAAATAAATTTCTCGTAACATTAAATAGTAAATGTATGCATCACTTTACGTTTCCTAATTTAGATGAATTTTTCGATTCCTTTCGAAAGGAGTCAGTTGAGGTGGTTTGGGCATCTGGTCAGGATGCCTCCTGGATGCCTCCCTGGGGAGGTGTTTCGGGCATGTCCTGCCGGCAGGAGGCCCCCGGGTCGACCCAGGACACGTTGGAGAGGTTACATCTCCAATCTGGTCCGGGAACGCCTTGGGGTCCTGCCGGAGGAGCTGGTGGAGGTGGCCGGGGAGAGGACGTTCTGGAGCTCCCTAGTTGGGATGCTGTCCCCGCGACCCGGACCCGGATAAGCGGAGGAAGACGATGATGACAAATTTAGATGAATTTGTAGACTGGAACATCATCTGCACAGGTCAAACATTTGCAGTGATCTGCATACATGAATCCTTATGACTCGATCTCTGTGAAAATAGCGCTGGCGCTCTTGTTTCAAATACTAGAAATGTTTTTCGAACATGTTTTATGTAAAATATGAAAACATACCCTCGCTGGGAGAACAACACAAAACTAATTACATCAAATAAAAGACACAATAGGGTCAGAAATCAAAACAGAACATCAGCGTCCTTGTCAAAGTAGCTTTCCGGAGTTTTCCCCTTTCAGAAATTATGTATGATTTTTCAGAAATCCGTAAAAGTCATTATCTTATCATGTACTGTGGTATAATATAAGCAATACGACTTTTTCTTTTATTATTATTATTATTTTTTTTTTTGCTAAGCATACCCCCTGCCCTCGGAATTATAAAATAACAGTTTTAGCCCCGCTGACTTGCATTTATTTTGTCGTTCTTCCGGGGACCTATGATGCAGAAGTGACTTCGGCTCCCTATTGGAAACTGAGCGCCAACCAGAACTAACCAATAGCGTTAGACTACTGCTTACTTGCTTCAAATTTAAGGAATTCCTCAGCTGGTGCAGAGTTGATGAACTTTTCATGGACAAGTAAGTCTTTAAAATTTAAATACATGAAAACACAACATGAGATGAGAATAATACTTGTAAAACTACGTGTTTCAGCTCTGTTTGTTGGCTACAGAAGGACATTTATAAACACAAACTTGAAGTTACCATCTTCAAATAACTGTGATTATTCATGTAATATGCTTGTCAGCCACTAGATGGAGCCATGGGATAAGAGAAATACTCGGGAAAGATACTTTTTAATATCCTTCCAAATTTGTAGAGCTGCAAGAAATAACTGCTTTTCAATCTTTAACCTATTCGGGGAGGGTTTTTATTTTTCCATTTCAATTTATGGATACGGTTTAAGGGTCCCAATGCTACACAACACGGAAAAATCCTTCAGCAAGACATCTTCCCTGTACACCGGTGCACCATTTCCAGGAACTAGAAGTGAGCCACATCACAGCTGAGCTTCAGACGGCAGGTTTTGGAGTCTTATTTCCTGATATTTGGACATTTCACCTCAGATTGGATAACAGCAACCACTACCACTGACTAGGTTTGTTCTGCATGGTTGATGTTTCATCTCCACAAATAACCCAAGCCATAAGGATTTCTGCTGTGTGGTGAAGTTGCTAACGCTAACAGTTAGCTTCTACTAGCTGAGATGTCCTCTGCTGTTTCCTGGATGCTAAACCAACAACAGCCTTCCCTGTTGTGAGTCAAGATGGATGAGTCCATGAATGTTAAGTGACAGTGTGACGTAGATCTGTCAGGCTTTTCTAATTCAAGAGGTTCACCGTCTATCTTCTCTCCAAAACTAATGCAGGAGATAGGTGTAGGAGACTATTTTCATGTTCAGCCTGCATGATAAACTCAGAGTGGCCCGTTGTAATCAGAAATAAGATTTAAAAAATGGTTTTTCAGTGATCCACACCTTTAACGTGTTTATTTAAAGTACTTTTTTTGTTTGCCAAATATTTTATAGCATTTATGAGTGCACAGAATTAGAGGTTGAACATGGAACACGAACACCAAAGCGACATCTGTGGAGGTTGTCGTTGGAGAAGAGCTCTAAGGAAGATTGAAGTAGTGGTCCAAACGTCAGCAAAAACAGGAAAAGGCAAAACAACTATTTTCTCTGTTGAAAAATAACCAAGTAATGCAGTCAGAAGAAACACACAGAATGAACGCACAAAAGAAGGTTTCCAGCCATCGGGATGTCAGGTTCGCTGCTGATATGTGAAATTTTTATTTGGGTCCATCTATTCAGGCCTCACCTAAACTCACTCGGGTTTTAGATCTTTTATGGTTGCTCCTCTTCTGAGAAGGATAACATGTTCTGGGCTCAGAAGCAGCTGCTTGACTTGCCAGGTCAGCCACTTCGATGTGCCAAACGGACTTTGGCAACCCACAATGGTGCCCTCTCGTGGCTGGTAGATGTAAACATAAACCATGGTGGCGCAGTGGTTAGCACTGTTGCCTCGCAACACGAAGGTCGGTGGATGGAAACTCGGCTGCGGCCTTTCTGCGTGGAGTTGCGTGTTCTCCCCATGCATGCGTGGGTTTCCTCCGGGTACTCCGGTTTCCCCCACGGATCACAACATGCCCTATAGGTTAAAAAAAATGTAAGTCGCTTTGGGTAAAAGCGTCTGCTAAGCACATAAACATAAATATTAGATTATTTTCTTATTAAAATATAACTTTTAAAGGAAATACCTTCACTCTGCACACATCTAAACACTCAGTGGAGGTATTATTTAAAAAAAACAGCTTTTTATTAAATTGTTCCATTTTCAACCTTTAATAATATTTGATTTTTGAGTGAAATTATAAAGATTTTACTAGATATGTTTAATTTAAGATCACTGGGCCATGATGTCACTTCCTGTTACCCTAAGCTTCAAAAATGTTATTGATGCAAAAGGACCAGCAGTTTGACTACTAGTGGACAAAAGTTATAAGTTTATTCTTATATTTTGTGATTTCTTTATTTTACCAAAACTGAAGCTAGTAAGCTAATAATCTGCACATTATTTTAGTTGTTCATTAGTTCTAGGGTGGGCTTGTGGTGTAGAAGTTCAAAGAAGATGCTCATTTTGTGTGAACACCACAAGCTCCATCTTGATGTCATTAAAACACAAAGGTTTGCCGACATCCAGGAGCGCACGTCATTTAAGCAGACTGACCATTGTCTGTCTGTAACCCATGATCAGTGATCAATAATCTTTGACCAATTTAACTTTTTTTATGTAGTGTGTTTTATTACACCAAATGATGGTGCAACGGTGACACAGAAGTTAAGTGCTCGCCCCGTAATCGGAAGGTTGCGGGCCTGCTCAGTCTGTCGCTGTCGTTGTGTCCTTGGGCAAGACACTTAACCCGGAAGGACCGGTGGTGCCTGTGTACAGCTGTGAGCCCCAGGGCAGCTGTGGCTACAATGTAGCTCATCACCACCAGGGTGTGAATGTGTGTGTTAATGATTGCGTTGTAAAGTGCCTTGGGGGGGTTCCAGAAATCTAGAAGGTGCTATATCAAATACAGGCCATTTACCAAATGAATTGATATGTTGGGCAGCAGAAGTTCAGAGGGTAGAGCGGGTTGTCCAGTAAACATTGATCCCGGCTCCCGGCAGAGCATGCTGCCGATGTGCCCTTGGGCAAGATACTTAACCAGAGGTGTGACCAAGTCTCTGCTTTGCAAGTCACAAGTAAGTCACAAGTTTTTCCAGTCAAGTCTCGAGTCAAGTCCAAGTCAAAGACAACCAAGTCCAAGTCAAGTCCAAAGTCAATAATGTGGAAGTCCAGGTGAAGTCATAATCAAGTTATCTGTCAAACTTCAATTTAATGACAATGATAATAAATAAATTCTTAAAGTAAAACTTCTTAAAGCTGAGTTTATTTCCTCAAACAAGCAGAAAGTGCAACTGAAGTTGATTATAAGCAAAGTGCTGCTGCGTTTAGCAATAAATCAAACCCAGAACAAAGAATGATTTATGATTTTTGTCCATGTCGTGCCACTTTTGTGCTAAAATATCAAATATGCTCAAGTCATCATCAGGTCAACAGATGGAAGTCGATTCAAGTCGCAAGTCATTGGCGTTCAAGTCAGAGTCAAGTCATAAGTCTTTATAATTTTATCAAGTCAAGTCAGAAGTCATTAAAATAACGACTCAAGTCTGACTCGAGTCCACACCTCTGCACTTAACCCACCTTGCCTGTTGGTGGTGGCCAGAGGGACTGGTGATGCCAGCGTACGACAGACTCAGGCATCTAACTCTTCTGCCACCATCTCTGTTTCGTCTTCAGTTATATCAGGCTTACCAGAGGTGAGAAGAAGACAGCAGGAAATGAAGTGTCATTTCCTGATATTTGGACATCTAATCTCTGATTAGTTAACAGCAATTCAACTCCACTACAGACTACATTTATGTTTAATCTCCACAAATAACTCAAACCGAAAGGAGTTCTGCCATATTGTGGAGTTGCTAATGCTAACGATTAGCTTCTATTAGCCGAGACATGCTCTGCTCTCTCCTGGATGCTAAATGAACAACAAACTTCCCAGTCACAAGTCAAGATGGGTGATCCTTGAAAGGTAATCTTCAATGTGACATAGAACTGACTGTCTTTTCTGATCCGAGCCTTTGCCTGTCTATTCTCTGTCAGCGACTAAAGCAGGAAATTGGGACAGAAGAATATTTTCATGTTGCCCTGCAATGGACTGGCTCTCTGTCCAGGGTGTACCCCGGCTGATTGCCCATTGACCGCTGGAGATAGCCAGCCCCCCCCCCCCCCCCCCCCCCCCCCCACCTACCCACCCCCACCCCCCCTCCCGCAACCCTACATGGACAAAGCGGGTTCAGACTATGGATGGATGGAATATTTTCATGTTTAGCTTGCATGTTTCAGAAAGACCGATCATTTATAAAAAACAACAAGTAAATAATGGTTTCTCGATAAACTTGGTCTTGAAGAATTTCACAATTACAGAAGCTGAGCTGCAAAATTCTTAAACTTTCCCAATATTACTTTTGGTAAGACAAATGTTGTGTGTGTTTTTTAAATGAACGTATTTAATATAAACTTAATGTTTTGAAGTGGGTTGGGTTTAGGGCTGAAATAAACCAGTAACATACCTAGATTATAGAAATCTATTTTAAGCCTTATTTTAACTTTTTTTTAATTAATTCACTTTTGCAGCGACATAATAAACGCTTCTAGTTTATCTAAAGAGTTTTGTCATCTTTGTTCATTAGGACCAAAGTGTAGTCTAGTCAAATCCTTCACATTTACAAAGAAAAAAAAAGTTTGCATGTTTGTTAGGATTATTAACCTGAGCCTCGGATCCCCACAGGAACTGGGAATGCTGCTGCTGCTGTTCCTTTTCCTCCAGCCAGCCGGGAAGCAGCGCTCTCCTCCCGCAGACCGCCAGGCTGTCCCGACTGCCCAGGCTGGCAGGCAGTGGCGACGGCAAAGGACCCGACTCGCGGACCGCTAAAGTGGAAAACACCGAAGAAACCTCTGAAACTTGGACATAAACCACGAATGTTTAAGTTTGGATTTCCCAAACGGACCAGGAACGTCGCAGACAGCTCGGTGTTGGCTGGAAGTTTCCGAGTCGAACGGAACGCAGCCGGGATGTGGTGACGAGACTCCACCGGGAAGCTAACGCTAGCCGGGAGACAAACACTACATCGGTTTCTTAGATCTCAGGAGATCTACTTCGGGATTTATTGTTTTAGAAATCAAATAGTGCGTTTTGTGTCGCACATTCTATAATGTTATGTACTTTTATATGAGATTTAGCTCAAAAGTTACTAAATTAAATTGGCGAGCGTTAGCTACCTAGCAGGCTAGTAGCTGCCGACTTTAAGCTGACTTCAAGCCAAAGATTTCTGTTTCAAATTAACTAGCTAGGCTGCAACAGTTTCCACGTCAGCTGACTCCATCAGCACCCGTGGGTCAGTTAAGAAATGCTACTTTTATCGAGTTTTGCTTCATATTTTACGGTGGCCGTTAGTCTTGTGACGCAAAGATAAACACTTGACTTCCAAATTCAGGTATGCGATCTTCGAATCACCAGCTCTCTTATCAGCTAGCATGCTAACGCCAAGTTAGCCGGCCAAACTTGGGAATACTACCCCCTGCTCACTTTGTGGGTTTGAGGCCTTAAGGAAATCATCCTGTTTTTTCTTCCCAGAAGACCCCATTTCAGCCTTAATCTTGGTGTCTGAACGGGATTTACATGTTTTAAATGACTGGATGTTTCAGAAGTCTCTGAAGGCTGTTGGATTTGTTTAACTTCATTTACAAAACGTGGATTTTAAAGAGTTTGGATTAACGCTAAACTGCAAAGGTGAGTCCAACAGTATGGTTAATGTTACTTTGTGCTGTCAGTCACTTTATTTTAGTAAATTCGACAGAACTTTACATCTTTGTTTGGGTCAGAATGATCCAAGTTTGGTTTATCTTGATGTAATGATGAATAACTCCAGTACTGTTCAGAATCCCACCCCCCTCTCCAGGCCTTTAAAGTTGGTCTTTAACATGTTTGTTTACTTCTTCCTGACTATTCTCAAAGAAATGGCATCACATAGTTTATTAAACCACTTCAGTCTATAAATTATGCAGTTAATGAAATACTTCTTAACTCAAATGATGAAGCAGAGTTGTGTTGATTCATTTACTTTGTTATCCCTAAATCCTGACCTATGGTAGATGTCCACCTGGAGGATCCATGAGAGACCTGAAACTACTTCATTCATCGCACACTTTCCCATTTTTCCACAGACTGAGAGCTCTTCCGTAATCACCTTGTTAGAATATAATTTCCTGTGTTTCAAATAAACAAAAAGTTCTTAAAATGGTACACCACGAGGACTGAGATTAAGTTAAAAAGCAGCCAGTTTGAGAAAGGTTGATTTGGAAAATGGCTGCACTTGAGTTTGACTGCTGGGAGGGAAATCTAGGGAAGAGGCCTGAATTAAGAGTTTTCAACTTTACCTTAGATGTCAACAGTTGGCTAGGTCAGTGATTCCAAAAGTTTGGGTCGGGATGCTACTACAGGTTCTAGGTATTACACCCGGGGGTCGAGATGATCTTCAGAACTCAAACTAAAGAATAACTTCTGTTTACTATCGCTGATGTAAAAGCCTAAACAAATACGAGGCAAACCATTTCTGTTTATTTAGCCTTGAAGCCGTGTTTGGGATTGTGAGTCAGAGTCGGAGGTGTTTGGGCCTACGGGTCTGGATGAAGAACTCTAACTGGTTAAAGGGATTTAAGGATAATTGTTTCTCCGAGTCTTTGATCCAGGTTTCGATTTGTTATCCCTAGTTTTTTTGTGTCTCTCCTGAATTGCTCACCATCTGTCACTACCTCTCATTGATGCTGAACGACCCTCCCCCATACAGCTGATTCTGAGTGGCTTGACCTCAATATGACAACACTGGTTCTGCATTTTTGCTTCCAGTAAATTAGGTTAAGTTTAACTCAGAAACCGTGTTTATCACATGAAACTAGCTGTTTCTGATAAGAGCTAATTAGGAATGGCAGATTGAGTTTTGTCTTGTTAATTAGCATGTAACAAACAGAGTGCTGCTGAGCTCTGGGTTCACCCAGCTGGATGCATCCTAGATGAAGAAGCCTTTCGGTGGCTGGAAGAGTCAACTGCTGGAAATATTAACTCTCCAAGAGTTCCTACAGGACTTGTCCCCATTCCTAGGTTGTTGTTCCATGTAGGTGTGTTAAATCTAGCTCACATGATTCCTGGGCAGTGTGTCTGGCTTTGGTCTACAGACTGTAAGCCCCTTGGTGATCAGGCTGGTAGAGGTTGGTAGCTGCAGCGTAGAAATAAACACAAAACCTCCAGGTTTCTGATTGGTCACCTGTTTGGGTTAACCTAAAGTTGGCTCGTAAGCTTCCCTCCATCCTAACAGCCTATTGGATATTTTCTTTAGCCTCCTGCTTAGGAAACAACCTGCTGAGACCCTTTCTGCTCAGTCTTTAAAGTTTGCTGATTAAAAGATTTGGACCTTTGAACTTGTGTGATGCTTTATCTCGGATGTGTTCAGACAGGTTTGTAAAAACAGTTGGTTTTAAACCAGAACTTTTATCAGCCTGAGCAGTTTGTCCTCTGACCTGTACCGGCTGTTTGGACGTGAGCTAATTTACAGTCAATGACTATTTTTTTTTTTTATCTTTTCCCGTTTTTTTCCAGCCATAATTTACTTTCATAATCTAATATATTAGGGCAAACCTCACAGATGGAGAAAGACTGTCTCTGAACTGCAGCAACGGCTTTGGAGCCGCGACCTCTGATGGAAGGCCCCTCAAACCCACAGGGTCACGTTTTTAAATGAACATCTGACACTTAAGTTGTTCAAAGATACAAAAACCAAAGAAGCAGCCAATCACCTGACTTGACTTCCAGATTTTCATCTTCAAACTAATTCTGTCATTTCTCTCTACCTCTGGCTGCAGATGATGTGCGAGGTGATGCCCACAATCAGCGAGGCCGAAGGGCCTGGTGGGGGGAACGGTTCTGGGCGCCGAGGCTCCGGCTCTCCTCTGCAGTCAGACTCTGAAGGGCACTTTGAGTCGTTGATGGTTTCCATGTTAGAGGAGCGGGATCGCCTTCTGGACACGCTGAGGGAGACTCAGGAGAATCTGGGCCTGACCCAGAGCAAACTGCATGAAGTTAGCCATGAAAGAGACTCGCTGCAGCGGCAGCTGAACACTGCCTTACCTCAGGTCAGTCCTTATGCAGAAATAGCATACCTGCATCATTAATAGTCATTCATTTAAAGGTTAAACTCCTGTTTTTTCTTGTCAAACCTTATTGGTGTTGGGTTTGGGTCATGAAACATAAGATTTTTCAAATCGGTTCATTATTTCACTTTGTGTAATCACCACTGCTCTTAGTTGCTGCTAACCCATTCGTGCAACCTGGTTGTTTAAGAGCATAAACATAAATAATTATGGTAATTGTTTTTAAATCAGGGAAATCCTGAAAACTGGTTTGAACTCTTAAAGCAGCTGGAAGCCGGTGAAACATAGATGTGGATTTTCATTTGAACATTATAAACAACTATAACTGAGGCAGCGCTGCAGCCATAGCAACACTTACCTTCAAGTGTTTCCCATATTCATCTGGACATTCCTCCTTAAACTCATTTGAAACTTGGATCAAAATATATCCCTGTCCTGCAGATCACCCATCTTTCTTAGAATAAACATCTGTTTTAAATACATTTTTGCTTATTTTTCACCAGCCACACCTTTAGGCGTGGTTACCTGGAACGGGACTGACAAAGGTCACTGAGTCACTTTGCCCTTCTTTGTTTTTTATTGTTCTTTTTTTTTTTTTTTTTTAGCTTTCCAATGTTTGGGTTTCACACACACACACACACACACGCAAATTGTTTGCAATCTGACCTCAGAGAGATAAACGCCTCCTGCTCTGGTAGCAATGTGAGGACTGGGCTGCTTGCGAGTGCTTCGGCTGGGGGGGCGGGGCCCACAGCAGCACTTGTGAGAAGAACATCTGGTTTTACATCAGCATGACCAGATTAGTCTGCAGACCTGTCTGACAACCTGAAGACTGACTGGATGTAGCTACTACTTTGAGGACAGGTGAACACCTGGAAAGGTAGCAATTTATGGGCCATTCCCACCTGTACCGGGTCGGCCCGGGCCGGGTAGCCCCAGTCGGCCCCAGCCTGGCCCGGTTGATTCCACACATCCTTGTCTTAAGCCCATGTGGGCTGATTCTACCCACCGATCAGAGGCTTGCTCTAATGGAAGGTGTGAATTTGCTGTCAGCAGTGGGTGTGTTGGCCCTGGTCGGCCTGAAGCAGACCCCCTCGAGAAGAGGGCTGAGAATGAGCCTTGGTTGGCCTGGAAAATTACCAGGCCACCCAGATATGTAAACAACCTACGCTACCCGGCCCGGGCCGACCCGGTACAGATGGGAATGGCCCAATAGAGACACATGTGAACAAAGAGAACTTACAAAATGAGATGATGGTGGAAACCCCCTCCATGCAGTGAAGCAGCATCCATTATATATTAATAGGTAACTGTAGAACATACAGTGCTTTTTTTACCTCGACTTTGCATACGATCACCATATATTCAGTCCTTTACGCTAATGAGTTTGTGATGGTCGTTTTTCAGTTTCTGCTATTTTCAGCCCTGATGAAGCAGCAGCCTCTCCTTTGTCCTTTGGTTTGCAGGTCTTTGTTATATTAATTACTGCTGGTTTTACTCAGCAGGGTTTTATATTCATAAAGACAGGTTCAGGTTTCCACCTTTAAATTATGGATGGGAGAACAGCACACAAGTCTGGTCATCTAGTAAATATTGCTGCAGCTTTACTAGAACATGTTTCCACTACAGAGAGCCCGTGTGTGTCAGATTTTACTAAAAAAGGGAGGGAAGTGACAGCCGTGCAGGCTGAGAGCAACAGCAGAGTTGGAGAGGCTGCAGAGCCGATTGTAGCATCGTCCTAAAGGGAGTTCTGCTGAATTCTCACCAGAAAAATTCAGCCCAAACTTCGGCTCTTAAAACTCTTTCACTATAATTAGTCCTCAGATTTTTGTTATGTAAACAAAAATGATAGTAGTACAGTAGACCTGAGTAATATTCTCAACCTAATTTACATTCAGAGGGATTATTTCTTGACATATTAAAGAAAAACATTACATCCAAACTAGGGCTGAAACGATTCCTCGAGTACCTCGAATAATTCGAGTACAAAAAAATCCTCGAGTCAAATTTTCTGCCTCGAAGCTTCGTTTAATTCATGTTTAATTAATTCATGGCTTTGCAATCGCCCGTGGTCATGTTTCACCCGGACCGAAATAAGTGACGCACATACACACTGCACTGAATGCACACGCGAGTAGCGAATGTAACTTAACTTTCTCTTAAGCCATGGCAGACAACTTGAACCCCGGTGGAGTGCGAAAAAGACAGAAAAAGTCAAAGGTGTGGGACCATTTTTCACGTCGTAAGGTGGAAAACGTACTCCAGTGTAGATACTGTAAAATGGATTTAGCCTACCACAACACCACATCCTCCATGCTGCAGCACCTGTAAATGTCACTTCTGCAAGCGGACTCGGAGCCTCTACAAGATAATGCATTTTAGCTTGTATTTCTATATATTCTGCAGACACTGTGCGACTTTTTCGTTTGTAGCACTCAGTTTCAGCTCACGGCTTGACCGCGGCTCACAAATGACGGCTCACTTGACCGCGGTCGTACGTCTGGTAGCAACACGTCGGACTTCAAATGTGCTAAAAAATAGCAGTTTTTACACAATATGTCGGACTTTTTATTGTGTTGTTATTGATATTTGTTGTCCCTCGGGATTGCTGCAGGAGGACAGGTATTTATGAGAGGAAAACGAAAGTAAATAAATGTTTTGTGATCACTATTATTTGACATAACCACAGCAAACATGCTTCCTCGACAAATCCTTGTTATTTTGTGAGACAAAAAGTGTAGAAATGAAAACGGACGTGTGTTAATAGGAAAACAGCCGGCGAGCTGTTTGCGCCGTGAGCGGTTCTGGTTCTGTTTGGGCCGCAGCCGCTCGCAGCGCTACAACAGTTATCCTCCTAGTTTTTGCCTGGCTTGCCGGGCCAGCAGATTCTCACACGAGGGGAAAATCGGCTCAGGTTGTATACTTATTTTTTGCACAGGCATTTGTTTACTGTGAAGTAAAGTTGAAGTGCTGAAGATTTGAAAACTAATTTTGAATAAAACTTGAAGAATAACTGGCAATTGCTTGCTCATTTTAAGAGGTCTTTCATAATTATAACATGCTATTTGATATAATGGTTTACAAACACAAAGGGGTAATTTATTAGAGTACTCGATTAATCGAAAAAAAGATTCGATAGAGTACTCGATTACAAAAATATTCGATAGCTGCAGCCCTACTCCAAACATTAGCTGTTTTTTATTAAAGGTGTAGTTGACTGAAAAAGCATTCTTTTTCTGATTATAATCAATCACTCTGAGTTTTTCACACAAGCTGAACCTATAAATAGTCTCCTACACCTATCTCCTGCATTAGCTTCTGATAGAAAATAGGCAGTGAAACCCTAGGATTCGAACATCGTCGCAGATCTACGTCACACTGTGATTTAGCGTTCGTGGACTCACCCATCTTGACTAATGACAGGGAAGGCTGTTGTTATTTTAACGTCCAGGAATCAGCAGCGGGCGTCTCTAAGTTTAAGCTAACTATTAGCATTAGCAACACCACCACACAGTAGAAGCTCCTCCAGGCTTGCGCTATTTGTGTAGGTAAAACATCCACGTTTCAAGTCAGTGGTAGTCACATTCACTAAAAACCTGCTGTCTGAGGCCTAGTCCACACGTAGCCGTTTTTTTTTAAACCAATATCCGCCCCTCCAAAAACTTGCATCCACACCACCTCGTTTAAAACAAAACTCTGTCCACACGTACCCGGATAAATACGTTGTTAAGGACATGCCAGACCTGTAGGCGGCAGTACTTCCCCCGAATTGTATCCAGTCCGCATCGTCTGTGGTCTTCCGCAAGGAGCAGTAATTCCGCTTGCAAAAACAAACAAGCAAAAAGCGCTTGGACTAGTGTTGTCAAAAAAATCGATACCCAGATATAAATCGATACTAAAAGTGGTATCTAAATGAGATATTCCATCCCTGTGGTATCGATATTATGGACTATTATACACAGCCTTCTTCAAGTACACCGACACGCATGACAGCCAGATGCCGTAAAGCAGCCTCCGCCTCCCAGACAAACAGAAAAAGACGCTGCATGGCTACATTGCAATTTCCCACGCGAGTTGTCTCCAATCCAAGTTTTGTCTGCCAAATAAATAAACAAAAACATAAACAGCGCATTTGGGAGGCGCTTCACAGCCCAGCTTAATTAGCATACCAAGTCCGACACGTAGTTGTATATTCACGCTTATGTGCTTAAAGGAAACTCCCTTTTATTGCAACCCGGACTTAATTTCTAGCATGCAGTACGTTTGTTTACTCATGCTGACAACTTTGGTGCTACTTGGATTCCCCGGGGTATTTACCGTAGGCCCATCGCCGAATCGCCGTCAGCGTATATCCATATAACGGGTGCGGACAGGCATCCATGGTGCAGCCTCGAAATAAGACATTATCTGCACCAAAACATCTTCATGTCGAAAGGTTTTGTTAGGAATCATTAACGTGATTCCCCTGTTCGTTTGGAGCGGGTCTGGTCTGGGATTTCTAGGCGTAAACAGACTAGCTGCGGCTAATCTAACCGGCGCTTATAATGACGTCACTGCCGTGCGCCAGTCTGTTTTTATTAAGATTACCTGTAGATGTACCTTTGTCCTACCGTGGAGAAATTCGTTTTCTCCCTTTATTGACCAACAGAGTTGTTCAAAAGTACAGAACAAAACATATGGCATTACATCTTATGACAAAAATGCACCTTAAACAGAGTTTAAGCAGCAAAACATCACTCTGCAAATAGAGAATATATAGTGAGACAATTCATGATTTAAAGTGTTAACTTTCACCAGTTTTTGTATGCACGTTTTAAAAAATGCTGATACTTGAAAGGTTTAAGCACTTAATACACTTAATTCTTAACATTTAATTTTTGTAATATAAATTGAGGAATGTTATTTTTTGAATAAACTTGTTCGATAAATGGGTGTTTTTAAATAGTATCGAAATCGAGCATCGAGTTTTTTTTTTCAAGTAT